CTCACACTCACACACACACACTGTGCACACCTGTGGGTACTCCAGGAGCACTCACACACACACACACTGTGCACACCTGTGGGCACTCCAGGAGCACTCACACTCACACTCACACACACACACTGTGCACACCTGTGGGTACTCCAGGAGCACTCACACTCACACTGTGCACACCTGTGGGCACTCCAGGAGCACTCACACTCACACTGTGCACACCTGTGGGCACTCCAGGAGCACTCACACTCACACAGTGTGCACACCTGTGGGCACTCCAGGAGCACTCACATTCACACACACTGTGCACACCTGTGGGCACTCCAGGAGCACTCACACTCACACACTGTGTACACCTGTGGGCACTCCAGGAGCACTCACACTCACACACACTGTGCACACCTGTGGGTACTCCAGGAGCACTCACATTCACACACACACTGTGCACACCTGTGGGCACTCCAGGAGCACTCACACTCACACACAGTGTGCACACCTGTGGGTACTCCAGGAGCACTCACACACACACTCACACAGTGTGCACACCTGTGGGTACTCCAGGAGCACTCACACACACACACACACTGTGCACACCTGTGGGCACTCCAGGAGCACTCACACTCACACTCACACACACACACTGTGCACACCTGTGTGCACTCCAGGAGCACTCACACACACACACACAGTGTGCACACCTGTGGGTACTCCAGGAGCACTCACACTCACACACAGTGTGCACACCTGTGGGCACTCCAGAAGCACTCACTCACACACTCACACCTGTGGGCACTCCAGAAGCACTCACTCACACACTCACACCTGTGGGCACTCCAGAAGCACTCACTCACACACTCACACCTGTGCTCACAGAGCCCACAGGTGCCTGTATTCACAGGCCTCATGCATATGCAAGCACAGGGCTGTGTTCACAGACCTAATCTCTACATCCTCCTTCATTCACACATCCATCTGTGTTGACTGACCTCACAAACACACACACACACAGCCTGTGTTCAGGCCTCATCCACACATACACCTGTATTCTCATCTCATTCATTCACCACCCCACGCGTCTGTTCACGGATGTCATTCACCATCAACACACACATTCACAGACTCCTGCATATTTCCCCTGTCATATCCCTTTGATTTCCAATAAAGATGCCAGCTGTGTTAGCATGTTCACCCACTACAGTAGTCCTGCTATGCCCACATTTGGGGACCAGATTTCAAGAGTTTAGGAAAACATATATTTCTAGATGAAAAGACTTAACCAACCCATGTAAGTTAAACAGGCAGAGTCACCCTGGCAAACCCGGGGACTCCGCATTTCAGAACCAGCCGCCCTGTTGAGGACTTACTTGAGCAGTGATGCACACAAATTTGCATCTGGTAATTAAAAGTGTACAAGTTGCTGGTTCCTCACCTACCTAGTCACTACGCAGCCGGGCCGAGACTGCCACAAGCCCCAGGGCGAGGGGAAAGCCTGGGTGTGTGGGGAACTCTCCCACGTGAACGACGACATGGTGCATGACTGCTCTGCTGGCTCCAGTCGTCTCGCCTTTAACCCACTCAGCTGCAGGGGTTTGCACGAGTAACTCAGCACTACCCCGCAAAAGGCCCCTCCGACTCACTGAGAACCTGAGTGCAGCCGACGCCTTGACCCACACGCCCCAGACGCAGCCCTGTGAGCAGGTGGCAAGGGGCACGCACCCATCAGGCAGCTGATCCAGCCCTTCAAGCCACACACCGAGCACCCATTGCCTGGGTGGGGGCCCACCCAGGTCTCCCATGCAGCTGCCCCCTCCCTGCTCCCCTGCGCTGAAGTCAGAGATTGCAAAGGGACGCCCAGCTAATGTTCAGAAAATGAGAGCTGTGCAAAATCCCACCTCACACGCTAGAGGGTCTCGACAGCATAACCCCACCCCTAGCCATCTCCTTCTCTTTTCTCCCAGCACTTCATAATCCAGGAAAGACCTACATGTAGAGTTAACATAAACTAAAACCTCTCTCTCTCTCTCTCTCTCTCTCTCTCTCTCTCTCTCTCACACACACACACACATACACACACACACATCAGGCAGGCACTGACAACAAGAATGTACAGTTGAGTCTGAAAAACAGGGTAGAAAAAACAGCAGCATTTTAACCAAGTCTCCACAATTCTGATAACGAAGAAAAAGGTGAAAAGAACATTCCAGACTAAAGGAACCGGACAGACAATTGGAGAACTAGCCAAAGCTCTCCTGCCTAGATATGAGGGGACGAGAAGACACTGGGTGGAAGATGAGTGCAGAGGGTAGAGTGAATGATTGTCTGACCCTCTGGACTAATGACTTTCCTCCCCCTCTGACGGGAGCAGAGGAGTCAGCAAGGCCAAAGCCTCTTGGCATCACACCTCCAGCGTCACCCATAGAGCTGTCACAGCCCCCAAGGGCGCAGGAAGGGGCCCACAGTGCAAACGGGCTGGGCAAGGAAGACAGCATGATGTGGCTTCCATATTAAATAACCCAGGCAACAGAACCAGCCAAGACAGAAGGAAGGGGAGAAGCGACGAGAGCAGGACCACCACAAATGAAAAGCTTGACGGAGGCAAATTTCGGAAGCTCTGGCTGACAAGAAAAGCAGCAGCACTGTGATGTGCAGGTCAAGCCAGGCTGAAAGGGCAGGGTCCCCGGTGGATGCTGGCTCCTGTCCCGGCTGTCCCACTTCTGATTCGGCTCCTTACTAATGGCTGAAGATGGCCATGGTTCAGACCCAGATGAAGTTCCCAGCACGTGGTCTGGGGCCTCATCTGGGGGCAAACCAGCAGACAGGCCATTCTCTTTCTATGTAACTTTGAATTGGGAAATAAATGAAGCTTATAAAAGGCAGGCTTCTCGAAAGTTCTCCAGCTTGGGTAAGGAGGGGGGCGACGTGCAGAGAAGCGAGACACCTCCTTCCTCCCTCTTTCCAATTCCCCCTGCACACAAAGCCCGGCCTGAGGGTAAACACCCAGCACCCCTGCCCAACCACAGGACTGTAGCCACAGTCCACCTCCATAACACAGGTTTACACAAAGGCAGGTGAGCTAACGGGCAGGGCATGACGGTACCTTCAAACCTGCTCCTGCCCGAGACACAAGGCAGCGAGCTGGTGCAGGGGCTGGACCCACACTCAGACTCTTGCTACTGAGCCCGTGAGAAGCCAGCATAACCTATAGGAATACTCTAAACAGGATTCATCTCGATGCAGTGAACCCGAGTTTTCAATGCTGTGGTAGGTACCCTGATATTTGTTCTCAGAAACATTTCAAAGAGGGACGAGCACTCTGGCATAGCCAGTCAAGTCACTAACCATGATGCCAGCTCCCCAACACACCCAGGTGTATGGGTCACTGCACCCACATGGGAGACTCAGAAGGAGCTCCCAGCTTCGGGCTGGCCCAGCCCCAGCCACTGCAGCTGTCTGAGGAGTGAACCAGTGCATAAAAGATCTTGCTCTCTCCGTCACTCCCTCCCTCTCCTTATATAACTCTGCCTTTCAAATAATTAGGTAAATCTTCAGAACTTCAAGCGCAGGGGTGTGGCATTGCGGGTTAAGCATCCCACGGCAGAGTGCTGGCTTGAGCCCGGGCTGCTGCACTTCCAATCCAGCTTCCTGTTCATGCACGCGGGAAGCTGGTGCATCTGCTACCTCCCAGGAGCCCACATGGAGTTCCTGGCTCCTGACTGTGGCCTGGCCCAAAGCACTGCAGGGGACATAACATCTGAGGCAAGCTTTTAAAACCTGGAGCGCAAGTGAGGCAGGGCATTTCCACTAAGGAGACTATCCCGCGAAGAGCTGGAGTGGCTTGGCACCGTCAAGGACGCGTGAGGCCTCACGGAGCTGGCCTGCGTGGGAACAGGCACAGAGAGGACCAGAGCCAGACGGCGAGGCTGCAAGTGTCAACTCCGGTGTCTCGGGCAAGGCCGTCTGGGGCGCCTGCTGAGCCGGAGGCTGGCAGCAGGAGGGAGCGGGGAGAAGCTGAAGAGCATGCAGGGAGCTCGCAGTGGAGCCAGCTGTGGCTCCCGGGGCAACAACCCTCACCCCACATGTGAAGGGTCCCGTGAGACCATCACCATCCTGGGAAATGGGTGTCATCAACTGTCCCATTCTGCAGATGAGAAACCGGCTCAGTGGTCACCAACTGCTCCAAGCAAGGGCTATCAGGGCAGCGGCAAAGCCCTGGCAGCCACCAGGTGGGCACGGGAACCACCATGCAAGTGCTGCACACTCACCTCACGCCAGCCAGTGCTCGCAAACCAGCTATCACCCCTGTGGCACCCACGGAGGCCACAGCAGACGGCCCTGCTGCTGCTCCAGACCACCCCCAGCCCCTCCAAGCCACGAGGCTGAGTAAAATCTCACAGTAACATCCCCCTTCCCAACAACCCGTGAGGGATACAGCCGGCATTTCGTGGGCGACATGTGCTTACAAAAATCCCCTGAAACCCAATACTGAAGCCACAAACGACTTTCCGAAGGATTAAAACGGCATTAGCCAGCATGGGTGGCGACAGGGGCTGGACAGACAGCGCTGCTCGCACGGTGCTTCCGGAGGTATGCGAAGGCACGCCTGTGGGTCCCCAGACCTAGTTAGGAATGGTTCAGCCCAGAATCATATTTGACCTTCAGCACGCAGAGGACTTGGGATTCGAATCAGTCCAATTGTCCCAGAGCCGGTCTCCTAGCACACAGCCAAGATCTAGCTCAAGGATTCCACCCGCAGCATCGCCTGTAATCCAAACCGCTCGCCCCCCACTCACCTGCCAACATCCTTTTTCTATACACGCAAAGCCCCTGGCATGTGAAGCCCATTCTTGCGCACCTGCGCGATGAGCCCAAACCAGCCAGGTGAATGCCGGCAAGAATCCCACTTCGCACTTCCAACAGCGAACTGCACCCCGACCCCGTGCAGCCCCTGCCCGCCGCATCCCCACCCTCCCCACCCCCAGGGTTAAGTCTTTAAATAGCTCGCTTACAGAGGACGAGAGCCGAAAAGGGCGGCAAAGAAGAACCCCAAAACTGATTTCTTTCTGCCACGGTCCGGGGGTGGGCGCGCACGGTGAGGGGGAGGAGAGGGAAGAGGGTGTCCGCCAGAGCTTGGCAGACCCGTCACCCGCGCGGCCCCGACTCTAAGGGCCGACCAGAAGCTCTGGCACAAGCAAGCCTGGGGGCGCTCCGGCCGGGAGGCGGGTCGCAGACGCGCGTCCTCGGGTCCGGCCCGCGGCGAGCCAGCAGGGCGTTCGGGGTGGCACGCCTGCGACTTCGGGGCCCTGTCACTTCTGCATTCGCCCGGTAACCTTCGCCAAACCTTGCGCCGCACCGGCCCCGCCCCGCGCGCGCCGCGCCCCGCGCCATAGGCCCGCGCGGCCGCCGCTCAGCCGCCTCCCCCGCCCCGCGCTTCTCCCCGCCCGGGGCCCCGAAAGGACAATGCTGCAGGGGAGGGGGAGCGGGACGCCGGGGACGCGAGCGGGGCCCCCTCCCCGCGCCCGGCCCCGCGCCGCAGAGCAGCCCCCCGCCCCCGGCAGCGCGCACACCCGCCGCCTCGCATCCTCCCCCGCCGCCGCCGCCGCCGCACCGGCCCGGGGGACGGGCCGGCCCATTGTGCGGACTCATCGCCCACTGGCCGCGAGCGAGCGCGGGCGCCCGGCCCCGAGCCCCGCAGGCCGCCGGCGCCCCCTCAGCCGGCCCTCCCTGCGCGCCCCCGCCGTACCTGCCCCGGCGGCCGGCGGCGGCGCCTCTCCTCTCGCTCCGAGGGGCTGCGGGCGCTGCCGACGCCGGGCGGCCCTGGCCTGCGCCTGACGTACGAGCGGCGGCCCCGGCGCCACTCGGCGGAGGGCGGGAGGCGGCGCGCCGCAGCCGCTCCGCTCCGTTACCCGGCAACTGGCCTCAGCGCCCCGCCAACCAGGCCCGCGCTCCATATCCTTCCGCCCGGGCGCCGGGATTACATCACACCGGCCCCGCCCCGCGCCGGGCCCGGGCGCGCTCCGGGGGCGCAGGGGAGGCAGCGGGGCGCGGGCTGCAGGCCGGGGCAGCGCGGCGTGGGGGGCGCAGGGGACGCAGCGGGGCTCAGAGGACGAGGGCTGCAGGCCGGGGGCAGCGCGGCGTGGGGGGCGCAGGGGACGCAGCGGGGCGCGGGCTGCAGGCTGGGGCAGCGGGGCGTGGGGGCCGCGGGGGACGCAGCGGGGTGTGGGGCTGCAGGCCCGGGGCAGCGGGGCATGGGGGCACAGGGGACGCAGCGGGGCTCAGGGGACGAGGGCTGCAGGCCGGGGGCAGCGCGGCGTGGGGGGCGCAGGGGACGCAGCGGGGCGCGGGCTGCAGGCCGGGGCAGCGCGGCGTGGGGGGCGCAGGGGACGCAGCGGGGCTCAGGGGACGAGGGCTGCAGGCCGGGGGCAGCGCGGCGTGGGGGGCGCAGGGGACGCAGCGGGGCGCGGGCTGCAGGCTGGGGCAGCGGGGCGTGGGGGCCGCGGGGGACGCAGCGGGGCTCAGGGGACGAGGGCTGCAGGCCGGGGGCAGCGCGGCGTGAGGGGCACGGGCGCGCGCTCCGGGGGCGCAGGGGACGCGGGCCGGGGCAACGGGGCGTGGGGGGCGCAGGGGACGCAGCGGGGCGCGGGGCTGCAGGCCCGGGGCAGCGGGGCATGGGGGCGCAGGGGACGCAGCGGGGCTCAGGGGACGAGGGCTGCAGGCCGGGGCAGCGGGGCGCGGGGGCTGCAGGACTGGGGCACCGAGGGGCTGACCTGGGCCCCGCGCCCCAGACCGCCTTCGGGGAATGCGCCCCCTCGTCGCCACGTCCTAGGATGGCTCGCGTGGGCAGCATAAAGATGGCATTTTAAGAAAAAAATTAGATATCCTAAAAAAAAAACTGCCTTGCATTTTATGATTGTTATTAAGTAGACAGAAAATGCAAAAAATTCTGGGAGATTCGGAAGTGGCAACCAAAAATGTGCACTAACCTTTGCCGCAGCCTCTTCACACCCACCCACCCGCCCCGAAGGCACCCCACCCCCTTCCCCTTGCCAGGCCAGTCCTGAAAAGGGGAACAATTCAGTCAATTAAGGGGCTGCGAGGTGACCCACTTGCAAAGAACACATCCTGGGAGGGCGTGGCTTGCCTGGGGTCAGTTGTCCACCAGCTAAACCCGGCAGGTGCCAGGCCCTAGGCTTCTGCCTTCGTGGGGGTGAGGCTGCCAGGCGCCAGCTCTGGGGGTGGAAGCTGGCCAGCGCCAAGGGAGGCAGGCGGCCGTGTCCTGGACTGTGGCTGGACAGATGGCCTTGACGAACTGTGACTCCACGTGGTAGCTGCTCAGTGTCCAGGGCAGAGCGCCGCCACCATTTCATTGGCTGGTTTCAGCCTTGTGAGCGGGAGAGGCCTCGGGCTCCCAGGCCCCACGTGCACCGCAGGCCCCGGGGTTTCCCTGGTCAGAGCTCTGCCCCCATCTGCTGGCTCCAGCTTGCTTTCCAAGTGTCTCCCCAGAAATCTCAGCAGCACCTGTTCACCCCACACTTTCTAACACCTGTTCTGGGCCTGGCTGGGTGCCAGGCAGGGGCGGACCCTAGGCCCTGGCCCATGGAAGAATGAGCCGGTATGGGAGGCCTAGGAGCACGCGGCGGCGGGAAGGGACCGAGCTTCCCGTTTGACTCTCAAGGTGCTCCCAGACCCCGGGTGTCTCCCGCCCGCACCGCGCTTCCGCACAATACCAGGGACTTGGGCAGTAACAATGTATCTTACAGTCTCAGAAAAAAGTAAGCAGTTGGCCCCCTTCTAGACAGGCACACACACCAAGCTTACTGATCTTAGTGTATCACTTTGACACAGAGCCTCTTTGTTAATAAACTACAAACTGGCAGAACCTGAAGGCTTCTTGGAAGAAGAGGTGCCTGCCTTGAGCAGGAATTAACTAGGCTTAGTAGGATCTGCAGGTGGTGGGGAGGTTACCAGGAAGAATGGAAATCTCCCTGCCCGCCGCTCCCCAGACCTTGGTGACCCTGTTTCCTTAACAAAATCTTCAGATATTTTTTTAAGACTGATGTTTTTTGAGAGTTTCCATCTACTGGCTCTCCCCACCGCAAGCACTGCCCCCCTCGCCCTTTGGGCCAAAGCTGGGAGCTGGAGGAGCAGGCTGGCTCTCGCAGGGTGGCACGAGCCACCTCCAGCAGCAACCCCAGGAACTTCCACGTGCCAGCTGCAGGCTGAAGGCCCCCACCCCAGACGGTGGATTTTCCAGGAAGCACCAGAAGGCGTGGTTAACCACAACCTTCCAGCTCCCCCGACTCTCCTGCCCAGCCGCTGTCACCCACCCAGAGGCCCTGTCCTGACACCCAAGGTAGGAGGGTAAACCCCTGTTCTTTTTTATATGATTTAAAGACTTGGTTGGTTTTTTTTTAATTGGAAAGTCAGATTTACAGAAAGATCTTTCATCCACTCCCCAAGTGGTCACAACAGCCAGAGCTGAACCAATCAGAAGCCATGAGTGAGGAGCGTGTTCCTTATGTCCCACATGGGTGCAGGATCCCTAGGCATTGGGCCATCCTCTGCTGGGAGCTGGATGGGAAGTAGGGCAGCTGGAACTCGAACCGGCGCCATATGGGATCCCGGCACTTGGTGAAGAATTAGTTGAGCCATTGAGCTGGACCTTATTTATTTGTTTAGAAAGTAGAGCTACTGAAACAGGGAGAAACAGATCTTCCAGGTTACTCCTTGGGGCTAGGCCAGGACAAGCCAGGAGTCAGGAGCTCATCTGGGTCTCTCACATGGATACCGGGATCCAAGGACTTGGGTCATCTTCTAATTGCCCGAGTGTATTAGCAGGAAGCTGGGTTGAAAGCGAAGCAGCTGGGACATGAACCAGCACCCATCTGGGATGCCACTCTCACCTCAGTGGGGGCAACTCTTGACAGATTCTTCATTAATATCAGCTTCCACTTTTCATCCTTATCTTGGGGGAACAGGCGTCTTGCCCATGGTCTTCACTCTGCATGCCCAGGGTTCCTCATGCAAGCACGTAACTCAGATGACATCTGGTTTGTGAGGAGATGACAGAGTGGTCACCTGTGATGGAGTGGACATTCAATGGGCAATGCCCCTCTTCTAGGGAGCGGTCAGAGGCCAGGGTCACTGGGAGCGGTCAGAGGCCAGGGTCACTGGGAGCGGTCAGAGGCCAGGGTTGTCAGGAGCGGTCAGAGGCCAGGGTCATCAGGAGTGGTCAGTGGCCAGGGTTGCCAAGACCAGTCCTGCACATGTTAGCCTGCTGCCTCGCCCGTGACTTGGCTGAGGCTCCTGGGTGGAGACCAGCCAAGTTCAGCTCAGGACAGCAGTAGCTCTCTCGCCCTAGTGGGGTAAGATCCCCGAGGAATGCAGGAGGCCAGAAGGTGCCAGCAGTAAGGCAGTGTTGGCACGGAGGCTGAGGACTCTGAAGAGAGATGGTCCCTGTCTCTAGTGCGTGTGGAGACTACTCGTTTCGTTTCTCCGATTTCAAGTGCACCTGCTGCAGAGCAGGCTCAGCAGTGACACAGGGGTTAAGATGACAACGTGCCATGCCCTCTGACTCACATGTTCTAAATGCCAGGGAGGATGCCAGCAAATGCCAGCTGGGGCAGCGACTCTGTAAACATACCTGCTTGGCCAGCGGGGACAACATGGCTGGGCCCCCCACTCTGTGACTGCCCACAGCAGCACTTGTTAGCACGCTGTCACCAGCCCCTGCATCCCAAGCCCCAGCCGCTTCACAGGTGCCTTGCCCGCCCACTTGGCTCTTACTCAGAGATCCTGAGGCTCTGCTGGGTTGAATGGCTCACCCTAGGGCACACAGTCAGTAAGAGGCAGCACCAGCGTCTCATCCCAGCCCTCATCTTGCCCCTTGTTTCATCAAAATCCATCCTGAGTCAACTTTTTAGTGTGTGATGCCCAGATAAGAAACACAACCCAGTGAACCCTTCATTGTCCACCGCCCTCGGGGAGCAACCAGCTGTTCAGCCAGCCCAGATGTTATCGGTTCAGGTGACCTCATGGCCTCTCTCCGACTCCCTGCAGGTGCACAGGCCCCTCCCACCCCTCCTAGCTTCCATCCCTCCTAAAGTTGTAGGCAGTACTCCAGGGTCTGAGGAGCCACACCTCTGCCAGCCTCAGGCCACAGCTGTGACCTGCCCAGGGCTGTGGTGTTCCAGCAGGTGAAGAGACAGCCATGATGGTCTGTGCTCCTGCTTGGGGACGGGGGCTGTGCAAGCCAAGCCGGGGTGTGGTGGTCCCCCTTGGCCTGTGTGGTCATTCTCCTGCCTGACTTCTTCCTCTCCCCTGCCCCTCCACCCCAACCTGGGGAAGGCGCAGCCTCATCGTCAGGGACCATCAGCGCAGACACAGGGCAGTGTGGTGGTTACGAACAAAGTCAGGGCATGGGGAAGGAAGCCAGATGAAGCCGGAGTCTATCATACCACAGCCCCCAGCCTGCAGAAGTCATTTGGCTGCTCTCTTACCTGTGAAATCGGAACAATCGTAGTGGTGTCTGTCTCTTAGGTTAGTTCTTCATTCTATTCTATTTGAAAAAGAGAGAGAGAGAGAGAGAGAATCTTCCATCCATTAGTTCGTTCCCCAAGTGACTGCTACAGCCAGAGTTGTGCCTGTCTGCCTATAGATGCCTCTTCAGCATCATAGGTGGCAACTCTGTGGCAAGGCACCGCCCCTCTGGCCCGCAGGAAGTAACATTTCAGCTGAAGCCTGAAAGATGAGAAGGAAAGGCTACGCTGAGGGGTCTTGTGAAAGCCACAGGATGCTGTGTGGGTGTGTGCGCAGAGTCCAGCTCCCATCAGGTCCACTATCGAAAGAAGTTTAGGGCTGGTGGGAATTGTGAACCTTTGGCAGGTATGTGAGAGAATTTCCCACTTGAACCCAGCTGGATGGGGCGTGTCTGACCCCGGTGTTCTGGTGAGCCCAGAGCTGACTCAGCTTGTGGCCCCGGAGGAACGGGCTCTTTTGGGTCTGTCGGAGTCTGGGACAAGGCTGCAGCTCCAGGTCGTCTAGACGATAATCCACAACTAGGCAGCCCCTGGCTGTCTTAAGAGCAATGTGTTAGAGGAAGCTGGAGGGAGATCTTCCATCTGCTGGTTCACTCTCCACGTAGCCCCAACAGCTGGGATTGAGCCGATCCAAAGCCAGAAGCCAGGAACCAGGAACACTTCCTTAACTCAATTACATCTGCAAAGACCTGTTTTCCATGTGAAGTCACGCTCACAAGGTTCCAGGGATCACATCTTGTAGGTTCACTCTGCTCTGGCCCTGAAACCCACACAGCTCCCACCTTTGTGTGTTGCTGGTTTGTTTTGCTATACTTGCTAAGGGTCATGTGCTGGGCTGTGTGTGCTTCGGTGTGCACTGCCTTTCTCCCTGTCTACCTGTGGGCTCCAGGGAGGGCAGGTGGCTCCATGCCTCCCCATCCTCCACCTAGCAGGTGCTCAGGGTGCATAGCATTGGGATGACTCAGTCGGGGGGGGTGGCTGGAGGGTCACAGCCCCATCGGAGACATTCCCCAAACCTGGAATCACTGCTCACAACCACGATGCGGTGATGGACACAGGGGACATGGTGGCATGGATGTTGGCTGGTGGCGACTGACGCTGTGTGTATCTTACACGCCATAATTATTTCATA